TAATTGGTTGCAGTGCAGATCTGCTCCACTTTTGATAAATTCCCCACATTCTGTCATAGATGGCTCAGAGCTCCTCTGCAGCCTGTGTTATGTCAGATGACCAATCACTGTACAGTCTTCTTCACATCTACAATCGTGTAGTACAAGGGCCTACCCAATACTAACGAGACAGCTAAGGTCTATCCTCACTTTACATGGTTTTTAAAGAAGACTACACAATCAGATTGTACAGTGTGTGGAAGGGTTATATCCTCTGGCAGGTTGTGATTGCTGTGTCACTATGGGGAAACCTCCCCTTGCGGCCTATTTGGCATATCTATTAGGAAGTGAGATGAAATCTCCCCAGCGATGACAATAAAAGGCACTGTCTAGTATAATGGGGAAGGGTTAGACCCCCGCATTCCTGGCTGTGTCCCCCATGGAAGATTTCCCTTTACTTTCTGACTCAGAACAGAGGGGGGACTTCTTCAACAGGGACAGAGACAGCAGAACCAGATCCACCAATTGAATGTCTCCCAAAGCAGTTATTGTTGAGGCCTGTCAAGGTTGTCAGTGCGCTTATTTTGAGCTCTCAACTGAACATTCAAGTCCCTCACATGGCTGGTGTGATAACTGATCATGTGTGCAGCACCATGGCAACTGCAATCCAAATAGAGGCTAAGGTGGCACCTTCCTTGGCGGTAAGGGATAGGTAGTTGTTCCAATGTAACCCTTTTGCTGCCAATGACCTACATAGCTGGCAGCGAGTCCCTGTAAATAGATAGACTGCTGCCGGGACCCTGTTTAGCTGTGTAAAACCGACTGGCTACTTTACAATGGAAGCTATTCTGGTGGCTGAGCTGCTGCCAGACTGCTTCCAGGGGCCGGTGAAGAGTGCCCCCCTCCACTGCCTTGCTTCCCAGCCTCCGCTGTCCCTCCTGTGGGCCCAGCACTGACATCATTGGTGTTGGCGGGAAGAGAGATCAGCAAATGTCTGTTCACCGATCTCCTGGCTGAATGGAGCAGGAAGCACTACTGGTTGCATCACTCCTCAGCTGTCATTCCCTGGCTTTGAAGTGAAAAGTCGACACAGGTGTCTAATATACCCCTAATATCGGCATAAAGAGAACCTGTCACCACTAATATGCTATCATATAGGGGGCTTGTGATCCTCTCTTTGTGATAGCAGTGAAGTTAACTAAAAACATTTTTTTTAAATAAAAGGTAAATGAAATAAATACAAACAATTTTAAAGTCCCCTGCGAGCGCGCGCGTACTGATGTAGACACGCGTTACGTGCGCCTACCTACAAAAACAACGATTGCGCTACACATTTTAGGTATCACCGCGTGTGGCAGAGTGAGAGTGATAATTGTATTATATTATAATTTTGGGTGTAATAAGGAGTTATGGTAATGTAATGCAAACAATCACTGCAGCTCTTTTATTTGACAGGGTCTGTGCTTTCAGGAGATATATAACTCTTATAACCTATGAGCAAAAAAAACACCTTGGCAGCAAAAGGGTGAACATTTTTGGGGGCCAC